AGGCAAGTCAGACAATACAGAATATAATTTTTCATTGAAACGCACAAGTGTCTGTAAATGCATGTACTTCATACCGTATATTAAAGCTATTTAGTAGTAAGCCCTGCTCTCTTTACTGTAATAACCTATTAATGTAATTGCGCGACGAACTGGTGTAAAAGTTTATGAAGAAAAAAAAAATACAGTACTTACTATCTTTTTACTGTTCACGTATACATATATATATATATATATATATATATATATATATATATATATATGTTTATCTATGTATTAGAATGTATTTGTGTAAGACCTTAAGTAAGCATGCGTGTGTAAATGCGTACCACATTAAGAAAATGGTCTATGTATTTGCCAAGACTTGTATAGAATGTGCCAATAATTAATGTTTGTTTTATTATCGCTATTAATGTCTTTAATATTATTAAACAATATAAATTTGATGTAACTGCTGTAAATACTATAAACGAAACCGATTAAAATTTGTCAATTTTTACAAATATTGCTTATAGACATTGTAATAGAACAAAGCAAATATTATCAGCTTAGCCAACCTTTTTTTCCTCTTCCTCTTCCTCATCGTCTCTCTCCCTCTCTACGTAAAAGAATTGTCCATTCATTTCATGCACAACTAATCGTTAATATTTAATAACGATTTTTTAGTAACCATATGGAATTACATACACATTATACATTCATGGGATTTTCAATGTCTATTTAATATTTACTGCTTGCTTATGTATTTGCCTATATATATATATACATATGTATAAATATATATAGGTATACATACATGTGGTCAATTTTTTTTAAGACCAGGCATGTTTTTCGCTGTTTGCTTTGCAATATTTCATTTAAATTTTTATGCGTTTGTATTTTTATATCCTATAACAGTTCTGATAGGGGGCATATCAATTTTGTGCGAACGTATGCATCACTTAAAAGGGCTTAAGATAGATCGAACTTTTATTATATCGATCGATTCAAAACCATTTTCTAAACTTGTCTGTCCGTCTGTCCGGTATCTTGGGTCGGTACACCGGACATGTATCAAAGCAGGTACGAACGCTATTGAAAGATCGGATCGGACAGCTTCTTCGATCACTTTCTATATAACATGCTATTTTAAAAAAAATTGACAATTTTGGATAGGCTGGGACAATTTTTTTTAGCGTCATCTCGTATAATCGTTACTACGAAATTTGAATCCTTGCATGATAAGAAGGTCAAATTTTCAATATTTCATGGGAAATATTGCTTCATAAAATAATAGATTGAGGAGAAACCAACCATGCCAAATTTGAACCACAGAGGTCTATTTTTTGAAGACCAACGCATGTAAGGATATTTCCAATGTGCGGAGTTTTCATAAAAATTACGCTTTTGCATGAAAATAATTTGTAACTTTTGATATATTATGACTGTAATAGGCCAAGTGGTGTAGAAAATCCAATAGTCGATATCGCCCGACTAGAATGCTCGTAGTTGTTATTCTTTTCTTAATATATTTTCTGCTTGTTTTCACCCCTTAGAACGATTATACAGATTTTCGAATTCATACAAGTGCACACACTAAAGATTCCATCAATCATGTCCGTAGTACAAGACTTAAGCCTCCGTGCTGATGACCATTACGACGATATTTATTGGTAAAGTTTATGTAAATTTTCCTTTTTCTTACTCGAAAGTCAGATATATTTTTTTATATGACCTATCTCTCAGAGATTATGTCACTATTCGCGTAATACGCTAACGATTAGAAAAAAGTGATGAAAGAGAAAGAGATAGTGGAAGCAATAGTTCAATCGGTGAGTGTTATGTCCGTACCGGCAAAGCACTCACTATAGGCCTGACTAACGTAAACTCTGCCGCATTTGAGATAAGAACTCGCAAGCGTTATTTACTCGGTAGTCGCGATTCTTATTTACTCGCCTGTACATGCGGACATTCAAAAAATTCAAAAGACAATGAAGGAAGAATATTGTCCCCTTTTCTATCAATGATATTAAATAAATACGCTTGGAATTAACGCAATTAGATCTTCCCAAGCGTTCTTAACGCTTTCTTTTCTTACCGATGTTTGAAAGCCGCAAAGAAGTAGACTTAAAGTAAACTTAGACGATTTGAGTCAAACGACTATTTAAAAAAAAAAAAAAAAAATTTTTTTTAGAATCACACAAAACATTACCATTTCTCCATGACTAGAACAATCGTCAGAGGCAGTTACGTGTCAGCTGGATAGCCATTACGCGCATGAAATCGCGTTTTAAAGGTCTATCACCTAAACACATTAATTATATACTAAATGTAACTTTAATTTAAAGAATTGTATTCAGGTATTTACCACTGTCTCCAAACGAGCTATATTAGCTCGATTGATCGGTTGTTTCCATGTCGAATGGTTTTCGTGACTGATTAATAGCCTCATACTCAGCTGCTAACAGATTTTAACGCGACGCTCTTTTACAAAAATATTGATTGTTTTCAGTACCAGTCGATATTTGACGTGTTTCAGGCCCAAAATTCTTTTAAAATATGATTGGCATCATCAAGATCTCTAATTGTTAATCGACGATTTTCGAGTGTCAAATCTTTGACTTCGTTAACGTGGCCTACATCAGTAGAAATGACGTCTATGTTATGAAATTTGAAACAGATTTGTCACAGTGCTACCAATTTAGAGAAATAATATTGCTGATATCCGATATACTCGTACAGTTTAACTTGAATATTGGTCATACTTTTTGGTCACAGTATTGCAAAATTATATGCAGCAAAGTGCGAATATCCGGCAATAATTGAATAAAGTCCCTCTAGTTCACATATTTGTAAATTGTTTGCCTTCAATATCAAACATATTTACAGGGTTGGCTATACCTTAATTAAAGAAACAAAAGGTTAAGAATTATTGACGTACGTTTCGCATTGAAAACCCTTCGTAATATTGCAGTATTGCTTCCAAATTTCGTTATATTTTCTATAAAAAATCTGAAAATCCCCTTACTTTTAAGAGCCGTTTTTCCGCAACTATGCTTTAGTCTTGTGAGCTTTAAAGCTTCGTGGCTTTGCTGCTCATACATATTCTCACGTTTTGTTCGTTTCTTGTTCGGCTCGTCACCCTAGTTTAGTTGTGGTATAAGGTTGTATTAAGTTTGGTTTGAGATAGAGCCGTCTTTCATTATATCGATCGATCTCAACTTATCTGTTCGTCCGCCTGTCCGTCGTGTATTCTCAACCTACACGGCTAACAATTTTCGAATTATTTTGATAAAATTTGGTGCATTGACGTGTTTTGACCGAAGGGCGGGTCGGTATAGAAAAAGTTTCGAATCGGACCAATTTTTCCACCACTCACGTCATATGCTTTATCTAGGCAAGTCGCTACATGAAAAAGTAGTATAATTTTCAAACTTGTGGGTCGGATGCGGAAGTTTTTTGAACGCCTTGCGATGTAATCATTAACCGTCAGCATACAAGATGAGATATTTTGATGAAATTTGGTGCATCAGCGTGTGGTAGCCTAGGGATTTAGGGAAGTTATTGAAAATAATTTGGATCGGACCAGTTTTCCGATCCTTTAAAAATTCATTATATGAATAAACTCCTTTCTTCAGCGAGAAAAACTAAGTGTTCTTCTCTTCTATAAGAGTTTTTAATTAAGCCAATGGCACTACCGCTATTACGCCCCTAATTTCGCTTCTCATCTATAGACAATTTAATTTCTTGTAAAATTTCAAGACAATTATAAATGTTTACGTTCTTTCCTCACTAAAGTTTATTTACGAAATTTCTTGATTCGCGTTTCGATTACAAGAACATGGGTATTAAGAGTACGAAATTCATTTTTAAGTATTTGCACGAAATACAAAAAGCAAAAATGAGTAAGATCTATAAGCGATAGTTAGCGATGAAGTTATGTAAATGAATCAAATTTCTTTAATTTCTTTTCGATTTGTGTCTCTAAAAAGAGTGTATGTATGTTCACGAAGGTAATACTTACTTACTTGAAGGTGCATACTTACGTGTATGCGTATAGCTCTACATTAACATCCAACTTACATTGGTGGTGGTCATGTCATTTTTAATATATAGATAAATACTAATAATAATATTTTTTCACTTTAATTTCATATTTCCTTCAGTTTTCAATTTCAATTTGACTTTTGTGTTTTTTTGTACGTGTGTGTATTCTTCACAAGCTATGTAAACGTCAGTGTTTTTATATTTCTGTGTATGTGTGTTAATGTGAAGGTGACATTTATATGTGTATAATAATATTATTATTATTATTTTCTGTCATTTTGTATGGTAAGCGGTTTAGTTTTCATTACGAAATTAACTATAGTCGCGGTTTATTGTGTTCCAACTCTTCTGTTGCCTGTTAATAAACAAAAAAAAAAAAAAAAAAAAAAAAAAACGAAAGTGAATTCAAATTAGAATAATATCTGAAATTGAACAACTTAAATAAGGTCAAAGGGTGTTTTTTTTTTTTTTTTTTATTTTTTAATTCAGCTAATGGCAGATACATAAACTTAGATTCAGTTATTAAGACGATTTTATTTCAAGCTTGTTATTGTATTTTATTAAGGTTTTGAGGTTCTTACCCTATTTCTTGTCTTAATGGTGCTGCTCTCAATTAAAGTAATTTATAATCGTTTTTTTATTACCATCAACAACCATCAAATACGTGCCGTTATTCCGAATTATTTAGTGTCGAGACAATTACCTAAGATTTCAAGGTTAATCGTATAATAAAAAAAAAAAACATATATACATATACATATACATATACATTTCATTCTAATTTATTGTGTAAGAAGTTCTTAATGTGTAAATAGTGAGAGTATATATTATAAAATGGATAAAAAGTTAATTTCAATAAAAACCTAAAGTAATAATATTTTTTTTGTTTTTCACTTTATTTACTTTTCTTTCACTTCATTTTACTTTCTATTACTTATTTTAATACTGAACTTATATATACTTACTTGTATTTGCAGTGTTGCAAATATTCCCGCAAAAAACGCATCGAATTTATGACGTGTAATAAGCGCATATGGAAGCGATGGATATTGACAGTGCTGCAATAACAATACCCGTCATTGACACCTCATCAATAGGAACAAACGCTGTCAGTGTTAATCAAAGCAATAATAACGCAAACAGACTACACAACAGTGGCAGTAGTTCCAGCAGCATTAGCAGTAATAGTAGTGGCTATGGCGGTAGCACTACCACAACACCTACCAATAATTATGAATCACAATCGGCACCCACTACGCCGGTGGCTATTGCTGAACCACTACCGAATACAACAATAGCAACAGTGACACCTTTCATTAACGAAGCTGTACAAACAAAAGTTTTCAATCAATTACAAGAACAACAACAAACATTACAACAACACATGCCGCACTTACAGAAACAACAGCTTCATCATCATCATCATTATCATCATCAATATAAACAGCACCACTCGCCAGCTCCACAACCCACAAGACAACAATACTACAATGCGTACGATTATCATCAACAACAAACACATAATCTAGCCCCAACACAAGCTGTGGGCGCATCGCCTTCATTTGCTGTTGGCAGCGGTGTAGAATCTTATGATAATATGCTATCCTACGCTGGAGCTGCTTCTTATAAAAAGTCATCTGAAATAAATTATGAACGCGAAGCCAATCTGAAATCAACTCAAACCCTTTATGATAACAAAACAATGGCAAATGGGCAGCAGCAGCAGCAACAACAACAACATCAACAGCAATTTGTAGGGATATCAAATATTCAAGAAAAACAGGGACATTTTTTAAACCAAAGATCTAGTAACATTTCTTTAATAAGTAACACAAATACGAATAACTCTCATAAACCTCAAGCGGCGGCGACGCCCTTTTATGCTCAACCGTTTGCCCAACAATACGGCTGCTCGTCATATTATGATAACTTTCATACAAAAGTACCGATGACGTTATCGGAATATCATGAAAACTACGATCAATCATATCAACAACATAAGTTCTATGCAGCTGCCAAGACACAAATTAAAGAAGCCGCCGGACTGACTAAACCCTACGCGACCGGCTCTCACACAGCACAATCATTTTATAATAGCAATACGACAAATCACGCTTTAACCCCACCTGCCTATGATAAATATTTATATTCGCCGAACTCTTTAAGCGCGGGGGGATATAATACCAATCGTGTCGGCAACGAAACGCCGCCGGAAGCGAAAGCATATCGCAAAAATTCTGGAAACTCATCCGGCTGGCAGTGGCCGCTAGACAATGTAATTGCCAATAGTCGCCCTTTGCCGCCATCATCTGCACTACAACAACCTCCAATGCCAAATGTTGGTCATATTCCCACAGCTACAGTAGCACCCACACACGCCGCCAGTTACTTGGCATCAAATCCTACTAGCCTACAGCGAGAAGCCACATATTATTACAGAAATACCACAGCTGCTTATCAGTCCCCTTCATTAGTACATCCTAATTACCAACCACAGCCGTATATGAGTCCACCATCTGCTAATCGCAACTTATGGCATACCTCTCATGCCCTGCACAATGAACGTTTATCGCATGCCGTGCCACAGAACGGAAGCGATGCTACTGGCCCTTCTCACGTTACCATGCACACAACGCCATATTTTCCCACCAACACATCAATAGTTTCAAATAATCGTCAATCATGTTGCTCTCAAGGGTTTTCGCCTCAAAACTGTTACTATCCTTCACGATTGACAGTGCCTCCTCCACCGCCTACAGCATTACGAAGTGCAACTACATACATGCCATCACAGCAAGCTTCCTCGCAACATCTAACTTCTCTAGGTAGTAGTTGTAAATACGGTAGCGTACAAGATTTTACAGTGAGTAATAAAGTAAAGAACCCAACTGATCTCTTTATAGGGCCGACAAACTATGAGACACAACCTTCTCATGGTTTACATGCCCACAACTACAACTATTCATCTTCGGTCAACGGGAATTTTTTTAGCCCAAGTAATCATCATCAGTCAACCTTGACGACGGGTTTCAACGGCCCAGCAATGACCCAAAATCAATCGGTCCACCCAAATGATCTCAATTTTCCACCAAACAATTTTAGCAACTACTTATCAAACCCACTAAACCGTGACACTTCATATATGAATAATCACAATATGGAAATACCGCAACCTACATTCGGATCGACATCAGCCAAAAGTGCCTTACTGGATTATCGAAAACATTTACAAACACCGTCACAATCACAACACCAACCTCAACCTTTAGTAACTGACGATTATTATTTGAATGCTTCAAGGGACCATAATCAATCGGCAAATTCTAGCAAAGCTTTAGGCAATGGGGAGACATCGTTATTTCAATTTGATATTGAGCAACAAGGAACGGTAAATATTACTTTTAATCCTTCAAACGAAGTCGCCTCACCATACGTAAGTGAGGATAAAACGTCATGTGACGACGTTAACAAAAACTTAAGTTTACGAGATTTCATAGCAAACTGGAATGATGACGAGGAAGACTGTGCAGCCAATGATCAAATAATGGCTAATAATTCAAATCACTTCGTGACCAAACCCACAGAATCGGCCGATTCGCACATAACGATCCCGCAGGAATTAGAAAATTCAAAAAAACCGCCTCCAGGGAAAAGTGTTAATGAAGAGAAAAAATCGCCTGATAACGGCCTACTGTTAGGAAATATAACCACCGACTTAGATGCTACAAATCAATATGTAAACTTGCCCGATATTATAATTGATATTGAAAAATCAACAAATACGATAAATAATTTACACCCGGACAATTCGAAGCTGCAATTAAATCTAGACAACTTCGATGTAGAGCAAGAACTAGATCAGCTACAGTTAAGAAAGTATGGCAATAGTACACATGATACAGAAAGTACTATGGCCTTCAGCGAGAACTGTGACGTTGCACTAACAGAAAAAGCGACACATTTAAAGGTTAACGATAATGAGCAACATTTAAGCAAAGACCTTAGTGTGAACACTAGGGAAGTTACGCATACCGTCCTCTCACCAGCATTAACACGCCCTTTGTCGAACGATATCGAGCATAGCGTTGAGCAACAATTTTTAAATGACATTGAATCCTACGACGGCAGTAATAGTCATCATTCTAATGAATCGGCATTTGAAAAGGAATACGAAACTTTTATTAATCGAATTAGTAGTGAGATCATTGCAAAAGAATTTAAACGCCAAGATGCCAGCGATCAAGAATTCGAACAAAATGTTAAAGACTTTTCAAAATTTCATAAACGTAAACGCAAACTGAAACAAGTGGAAGACGAAGACATGAAAGAGGAGCAAATATCAAAACAGCAAAAAATACATCCGCAGCCTGAAACAGAAAATAATTCAAATTTTCCACAGGTATACACGCGAAAATCACGTTTTAGAAAATCTCGCAAAAATATTTTATACCGAAAACGCAAGCCTTCATCAATCTTCTACAGATTAATGCATCCCTTGAAACGATCCTTTCATTTCCATAACACAAAACCGTCAATACGTCATTATTTGAACGAATTAACAGATAAAAACTTGCCCTTAACCAAAAAAAAATCGCCAAAACCACTCTCACTTGGTGCAGTGAAAACGAGGAATAAGCCAAATAGCTTAAAAATTTTATGTATAATGGCTATAAATACAGATAAATTTCGGGCAACATTGGTGAAAAGTGCAAACTCGAAGTTAAACGAGATGACAGTCCCGCTTAGCGAAAATGTTCAGAATTCGTTTGACTCAGTCTATCAGTCAGAAACAATAAACTCGTACGCCGTCGATGAAGAGCACATTTGTACCGATCCACATTGCGAAACATGTGAGGTTATTAAAAGTTTAATGGAACCACAATCTTATGAGTTTGATGTTCAGACCAGTCAGAATTTATCTGACTCGGTTCATAATTGTGACATTGAACCGATCGATCTATCATCAGAATCTTGTTTTAGAGAAAGTTTGAAAACTAATCCACAGATCCCTAATGGAAACGAAAATTCCACCAATCAAAATTCTCAAAACTTTTCAGAATCAAATACTATCGCGGAATTAACTGAAGCAAATATTAGATCAGAGGTACATGAACCTATCATTGAAACCCAGAATCTTGTGAAGATAAATAACGCAACGGGAAATACAAGCAATTTTCTGGGCTTGAACGAAGATCATGATCATGAAGTAGCTGAGGATGAAAAACAGCCAGAACTTAGTTATTTGCCATATAAAATTGAACAAGGAATAAAAGACGAAAAGAGTGAGGTTACGGATGAACATAGTGCTCTCCTCTCAGAAATCGGGATTTCCAAAGGTGAAGGAGTTACTGAAGAGCCGATTTGTAAAAAAAATCAGCAAACTAGAACAAAATATTATCAGGCGACAAGCTTTCTCAATTTGGATAAAAAACTCCAATCTTCTGACGGAAGCAATAAATCATCTTTCGAAGAGTGCAAGACTTCAGCTGCTAACGCAGAGAATAATCAAACAAGTTTTGCAAACAACAAAGGAGATGTTATCTCCACCACGAATTTAAAATCTCCTTCACTTCATGAACAGGGCATTACTTCGCAATCCTTCGATGCTCCTAATAAAAAACTGTACGAGCCAGAGCATTCGCAAGATTCTTATCAATTTGTGCGAGAAAAAGATTCGAAGAAAACACAGCAAAAATTAGAGGACAATATTGCAGCAAGCAATTATTGCAAGGATGGAGAAAATAGTAAAGATAAAGAATCCAATGGATCTCTTAACCATAGATCACCATTACGAATTTCAAACGTTTGTGTTTATCAGGTAGAAAAGCAACATTTTAATTTACATCTAGAGAGGATTGAAGAGTCTGAAAAAATGTCGTCTTTTAATGAATCTGAACATAATACTTCTAAAGTAGCGAACGATTATTGCGACTCACGACTGCGTATTCCCGACCATCGCATGGAAAATTATGAAAAAATTGTGGACAATACAAATGAAGAAATGGAATCCGAAAGTGATAGTGAACAAACAAATTCTGACACCGAATCGGAAAGTAGTACTTCTCGAACGAGTGACAGTGAAAATGATTCATCATGCTCATCAGTCTCCAGCAGCGACACTTGTCAACGTATTCATGACCATCAAGTAGTACCTCGAGATGAATCAGTTAAAAAACAATTTGCCAATGGTGAAAAGGACCAAACACAAGTTGCTTTGATTAAAAGTGGAAAGTATTCAGACACCCACCCCGAAGTTGAAATTCATTCAGAAGCTGATATAAAGGCCGAAAATAATGACGAGCCTTCGAACATTGTTACACCCAAAGAGTATAACTTATCCCATCCAATTGAAAATGACGATGATTCAATAGTATCTGATGCAATTGATGACAACGCCAAACTCCCCATTATAATAGATCATCCTGGGTCCCTCGAAGACATGGAGGAGAAAGACGATAACGACGGAATAAATGTTACTGTAGGTGGGAGAGAGAACTTGTGTCATTCCAATGAAAGCAACTGCAACCACTCACCTTATGCTGCAATTCGTGCTGAGGACAGCAACCAAAAGTTAATTAATGAAAATGAGATAAACGATTGCAAGGAATCAGATAATGAATTGAATTTTGAAAGTAATAATGAACAGTTAAATATTATTACAATCAAAGAAGGTAACTTGCCGCAATACGTTAAACGTGAAAGTGATTTCTTATCCCGTGTTCGCAGCGTAGACCTAATTCAAGATAATATTATGAGTTATTCAGAATCAGAAGCATTAAAATTTCAAACGATAAAAGAAGATACATTGCCTCAGCCAATTAAAAACGATGATGATCGTCTCTCCGCATGTGACGCACTTTATAACGAAGGTAATATTCTAATTAAAGACAAGCTAAGTAAAGACTGGGAAATTGAAAGCGATGATGACGAATCGTATGCAAATAACATGAGTCGCTCCATGAAAAGTCCTGATAATGCTTCGCTACGTAATTCAATTCACAATCAAGATGTACTCGAAAATAAATCTCCTCGGCCTGTTGATGAACCGATGCATAATGAAAGTATTTATACCGAATCAAAATGGAATGAATGTCAAAAAAACAACTTGTGCCAATCTGTTGTAAGCAATGATGATTCAAATCAAAATCAGCAATGCAATGAACAACAAAATACAACAACACACTTAAGATCAGAGAATGGCATTGAATATGAAACGACATCTTCAAGAGTTAGTATATCCCCCGCGCATGTATCAAAACAAAGTTACGCAACGTGTGAGCAGAATAAACCTGAGAACGTGCTGGAGAATACTGAGCGAGAATCAAATAAAACGATGGGCGCAAAGACTAATTCGCAGGCTAATTACGAAAAGGTAAACAGTCATAATTGCGACAAAATTAATATCGATGCTTCAAGTGATTTCAATTTACTACAATGTGGGAAAAATTATAATGACTCAACCGCATGTGTGTCGGTATATAATGAAAAAACATGCCAAAGCTTGACTAAAGAATGTGACTTACTAACCAGCAATGATTCAAATGAAGAAAGCGAAAGCGAAAGTAGCAGTGAGTATTCCAGTAGCGACGAAGAGGAAGACGTAGAGACTGCAAATAAAGATCTGAACGATCATAAAACGTTCTCTCATGATTTGCCTGAAGACACTAACAGTAAAAGTAACAATACGGATTGTCAAAATGTCATATTGAAAGGTGATTGTGCACAGCATTCTATAGAAAATGAAGAAGTCAAATCCCCAAACATTCTACTACAGACCATTGAAATCAATGGAAAATCATTGCGTGATATTAATGCCAAAGAAATTGAAAATGAGGGCCGTGGAAAGGCATTAAAATTTAACAATTACGATGATGCCAGCTCCGATGTGTCCTCTCATGGCGACAGTAAATCTTTTCCGTCGCCCAAAGAAAATGAAACTCTCCAAGAACAAGTCGAAAACGTTACAAGTTTAGCTGATAAATGGGAAGAAAGTGAAAGTCGAGAAAATAAACTAAATGCTTCCGCATTTATTGAGAGTGAAAAAGACCGAGAGGAAGTTTGTGTGCATTTTTCCGAAAAATATCAAAACAACACAAAGTTTGGAGAATCATTTAGAGATACAACTGAATATGCAAAAGACCTGCAGGAGCAATGTAACATACAATCGCAGGTCAGTTATGCTGAAATGCCCTCAAAAGAGATGCCTGAAATGGCAAAGGCATCTGTTCTTTTTCGAGATCATATACAAGAGGACCATAACGAAATATTGTCTTATTCAACTGAAACGGAAAAAAATATGACCTTAAAAATATTGAATAACGATCTCCTTGACGAAATTAGTTTACCCCAAGTTAAGCCAATTCTTAAGGCAGCAGACGAGTTAAGAAATATAGTCGGTTGCAATGAAGTAAGCGAAAATATTTCGAAGGTTAGCAGAGAGCAAGATCATGCAATGAAAAATGAAGACGAGACAAGCGTTATGGAATTAACAGATATCATAAACGCAAGGAAAGCAAATTTGGTCGAGATACGTAAAGAATTGTTATCTGATGATGGTAATGAAGCGATTGAACAAAATCTGCGAACGAGAAACGAATCTGACACTGGTCTGCAATGCAAGGACAAGGAAACTAACGAAACCATTTCAAAATGGAAAAACAGTGAAAAAAATGGAGGCACTCAACTACACACTTATATAAAGTCAGGTAATGAGTTTTCTTTGTCACAAAACGCTGATCGTTCGAGGTTCGCTTTGAGTGAAGAAAAAACAACAAATCATAAAAATGAGAATGAGAATAAAAGTCAAGATAATGCTTCAACCGTAATAAATTTGGGTCATTTGCTACAGGATAACAATCGTGGCCAAGAGGACAGTGGCAGTAATGAATCGATGATCGAAGATTTTAGAGGCTTTAGCGAGGAGAAGTGTTTTGAAGAAGAGTCTCAAGACTTTAGGGGTTTCGATGATAAAACGTCTTCAAACAGTATTCATACAATGAACTTAGATGAAAACGCTGCATTATCAAATAGCTCAGAGTCAACTGTGAGTTCTTCAAGATCTTTTCATAGTATTTATGCCACGAAATTTTTGCATAGCAATTTTAAAACGTCAATATCATCCGAAATCAATGAATTGGAAGCCTTGGAAAAAGAACTCTCGCATCGAGACTGGAATTTACAAAATGACGAAGATCAAGAAAAGCATATGAAAAACGAAATTAATTCGCAGCTGATTGTCAATGACAATGATATGGAAAATATCAAGAAGATATTACAAGGTGATGAAATCGCGCCAAACGAAAGTGAACAGACGAATGCTGACACAGCATTTGTATCAAAATTAAGTGACCTTTGTAGGGCTGCCTTAAATAGTTCCTTGCATTTACCGAATGTATGTACAACAATTGAATCAAATCCTATTGACGATGAGAATGAGGTGGAAAATGATTCTAAGGAAATGCTTCTGAATCGTGAGCTAACGGTTGAAGAGGCTTTAGCTGATATGTATCGTCAAGCTGGGATTTTATCAGATTCCGAAGATAGTGCTAATGAACAGGAACTTGGCGATGAGAGTAGAGATTTAGATGATAAAACCACTGAAACTCAGGATGTTATTCTTATAAATTTACAAGAAATTTTAAATAGCGATAATGATATATATGTGCTGCAATGCGATTTAAATGAAAATATATTAAATATAATGGAAACATCAAACACGTCTTCACCAATTCAAGAACACCAGCAAACGGAACATATCGATGAAAATAATGCGGAAAGAGTAGACACTTTGTTAGCAGCAACTCAAAATGAATCGGAAATTCATATTATCAGTTCAGATTCTGAATGCGAAGAGGTTATATTATTAAGTGATGAGGGTGAAACGGAAACTATACCATTTATCACTGATCATAACCTTTTAGATGAAAATGTATCGTTAATACATCATGAAGAGATTGTACCTGATAATTATAAAGAATTTTTGCGAGAAGAATTTTTCAAATATTTACACGAGAAATATGTACAAAAGAATATATCAAAATATTATCATGCTAATCGAATTTTAAGAAAATATAAAAAACGCTACAGCAAACAAAAGAAATAAAATATTTTTTAAAAGTAAAACAAAAACAACAACAAGAACAACAACAACAACAAAAGAACCAAAACAAAACATTCCATACTAAAAAAAATGATACGAGTAATAATCGATAATATATGACCAAAGATAATTTTTTGTTTGAATTTTTTTTCTCACCTTTTTTTTTTTTTTTTGTTTTTTGAAATGTAACATAAACCAAAGATAAGAAAATCACCTGCCTTCATAAACAGGTAATACAGAATCTTTATTATGGTTTTAAGTTTATTAATTAAACATGAATCTCGATTTTCAATACCACACACACACACACACACACACACGTACACATACATACATACAACATACATAATATGATATTTATCCATATTCTCATTAATATACAGAGAGAAGAAATGATTAAAACACCAATTGATTGAGTTAAGCTAAAGTAAATATTCTTTCCGTTAAGTGAATAGAGAGATTCTCGGAGACGCAATTTTTACAGAAGAAAAAAAAAAAAACCAAAAAAAAAATAGTCGGAAAAGAGTTAAAGGACTCGTGGGGTTTGACTTTGAAACCGACAATAATCAAATACGTTTTCATACATTGCGTATGCAAGCTCTTTTAAACTTATAAAAGAATTCTGAAAAATAACTTCTAAGACAGTAAAAAAGTAAAAATAAAAATACATTTATTGCATTTACATTTACGTAACAAACTCCCCCTATATAGTAAGTTAGTAAAAAAAAAAAAAAAAAAAAAATTTAATACAATTATATTCGTCTTTGGGCGAATCTAACACACCCACTGCCACAGTAATTACAAAAATTCTATGTTGGCCGACCGTTTTACCAGTAAATTGTTCCTCCCTGTCAGGCGCCAACGAAGTTTGTGATGTGAATCGGTACCTGGTGTCTGCTAGGCTGATATCTGCTCCTTGTACATTGAAATACAAGAGTGTGTTACCTGAGTAGCGTCCAGGAAGTATCGACAATGCAAAAACAAGAGTATGTCCGTAACAGTAGCACGCGTAGTGCCGATAACTCTAAAGCCCTAGAGAATAAAATCTATGACAAAATGTGACACAGGTCATGTTGCCCGCTCTTTGTAATAACACATGCGCTTTGTGATCACTAGGTGAGTGTGGTAGTGGTAGCGCCGCAAGATACTTCGGCGGAATAGGCGTGGAAGGTTTGACTACAGGGTGCGGCCCCTTCAGTGAGTATTGTCGTGGCTGTGGGGGGCATTCAACAATCGGAGGTTTATGATAGGTCACGTCTTGCCCAGATGCAAAGGTTTGGACCATAACCAAATTTTCTTGTTTGGTACTCTAGTTTTGACATAGGCGCGATTGTCAAGCAAGATGAAGGGTGTCGGAAATCACTTTACAAATTACCGGAGGGATCTGAGGATCTCGTCTGAGTAAGCTTTATAGATAGGCGCAGGCATTAATTGCAGAGACCCTTTTCGTCAGATATTTTTAAATCAATATTTACTGCCATCACGGGCTATTAATACAATTGTACGCAGATTTCCTTTTTTTTCACATTCTTTCCTTTATATCGCCACTACGAGCATTTTTCGAAAGATATTAGTTATATTTTCCAACATGATATGTATTAGGTCTACTGGACATATCTGTCCGTTTTTAGCCTTCTAGCTTCCGGGTCTGGGTCGTAATGGTATATTGAGCTGAATCAAGCTTTTCCGCAATGCCCGCAATGTTGCCAAAAAAGGATTCCGCTCGAACATGATCTTTGCAGTATCGTCTTCGCATGGGAAATGGCTTATCGTAAAAGTCGAAATCACTTATTTGAAATTTTGCAAACCATCTTCTGCATGTTTTGTCGGAAATTGTGGCTTTCATCAGACACTTTCAATAAATTTCTGTATAAAATATATTGGCGTAAATGAACTTTGTCAGTAGCCATGCATACACGATCGCGTCTCACTTAATACTAACTAAGGAATCATCTTCCTCTTTTCATTCATTTGGTAGGTTTGTACGCTTACAATCAATAATGAAAAAAAATTGTTGTAATCGGAAGCGACAGAACTTTCCAGTAGACCTATTCCATAACGTATATGCCTACATACGCTTGTGCGCGTGGATAATAAGCATGGGTAATAAGCGATGAACGGACGAATTAAAGAGAGCGACTTTAGGAAAATTAAAATGTTTTCCCTGTCGAGCAAACAAAAACTCTACAAGCTTTTGTTTTAGGCGCACATCGGGATCTTGCAATCTAATTATTATAAAAAAGGAAGTGGGTGTAATAACAATAATATCAGAAGTCTAGACGGGCAGTTGCAAAGAATTTGTTTTTTTTTTTTTTTTTTTTTAATTAGAAAAATCGATATATATAAATATATAATACAAAAAGTACTAAACGGGCAGTTGCAAATTTTTTTCAGTAGACCAATTGTTTCATAATTTTATTTTAATAAATTTTTACAAAAACAAAAAAAATAATAATAATAAATATAACTTTTTACAACATCAGTTTTTATATATACACCTAAAGTGCGCTTTAAATGTTGTTTTTGTTAAGATATACATGTAAATACGAGAAAAAATAAATAAATAATTATAATTAATATATGAAAAAAAATATATATATAAGAAAAAAAAATATTTTAGTGAAATGTTATACTTATGTGAGAAAAGATGTATACATATAAATATTTTTACATTTATTATAAAACACTATAATATTATAAATGAGGTTAAATTATTTTTTTATTATTTATTTTTCACATTTTTTATATATAAATATATAAATGTTTAAAAAATTAAAATCATTTATAAGATAGATTAAAAACAAAAAAAAAAAAAAAGACAAAAAAAAAATTAATAAACAAAAAGCAAGAAAATTATATAATATCTTTGCCTTGCCGGCTAATCTTGGACATTCACTACTTGAAAAACTGTTTATATAAATTCTACACATTTTTATTAACAGTGGGCGCGAATGGGAGTTGTTTACATTCCAGATCAATAACTGTCATATTTTATTTATTGCAATTTATTGACAAAGACAAAATTATGAAAGAGTAGAGTAGAGTAGAATAGATTATACACATTCACAGGAAAGAAATCCAAGTCTTAGACTAATCAAAAATGTATATATGATAAGATAGGTCTCGTGTTATGGGATAAATAAGCGTCTTAGGTAACGCGAAATAATGGGCGATAGCGCGTAACGTTCGCAATTTTTTTAAATGTCTTAAAATCAAACCTTTTATAAGGCATTCAGGGAGGAGGAGCATATTAGGCAATAATAATTTCGAAGATTTAAAAGCGTATGACCAAAGGAGACCAGACAGATACCTTGAAAAAGAAGAGACTTTAGTCTTTTTTTAACTAAACGTGTTTTTTCGCCTTAAAAAAATTAGATCCAAAATCTTTTTCTGCCAGAAGAAGTTTGCTTATCGTCTACTTATTATATTTCTTGGTTCTATTTTTGTAAAAGTATATTATTGAGACGATTAAATTTGCACTGCACCAATTCTGGCGCAAAGTATATTAAGTTTGTCCAGGTGTAAGTAGTATTCAGAAAGGCTTAATATATAGATCAACTTTTTATGGTGACAATCGGTTTAAAATCACTTTATTTGCATTCATCTGATATCTCGTTCATTTATTTTCGTGTTCATCCTATAGGTAAATGTTTTTGAGATTTTGGCGACACTAACGTAATTCGGCCGAAGCATTAATGCTGTTGGTAATGGACTAGATTGACGAATTCATTATATCTGATGGAGCAATTTTTTGAAAGCCTTCTCGTATAATAAGAAAAATAGGTTTTTATACGACATAAAAAATTTAATGATAATTGGTCGGAAAGAGTAATTTAAAATATCCCAAGTTTGGATTACATTGCCATATATTGAGGCATTCTTAAGAAGGGTAAACCTTCACATCACAACAAAGTTTTTTTTTCGTCCTTCTTGACAAAAATAGATAAAGAATATTAAGATTTTTGAACAGAAAATTAATTTTGCTAAATTTGAACTACGTTTTGGGTCTCCCCCTGTACAAGGACTGCCATTATAAGCGAAAAAATATAATTTTTACTATTTTCTTAAAAAGAATTGTATTAGACAAAGTGATGCAGTGTATTTAGTGATCGACTTTACCGAACGGTAATGCTCTTGCTTCTTCTTTTATTATTCACTACTTTGGAAGCGTGGAAATATTGAAATACAGAGAAATCGTATTCAAAATCCAATTAAATGGACAGATTAAAACTGAACTCTTCTTTCTGAGAACAATCTCCCAAATAAATGTCGAAGCATCACGTACGGTCATTCATTTGCACGCTATGTACTTATAATTGTTTATCGCAATCTCATAAGATATTAATCTTGTAATGAACACCTATGTCAGCTCACTGTCAAGATTCGAACTTTTGCACTGAAATGAACAAAGATAAAATTTGGTCTAGACATACTTGAAATGAAAAATTTAATTCGAAAAGATTTGCTGTGAACTCTTTTCAATGCAAAGTTGAGAGTGATGTCATTTCTAAAGCGTTAATGAAAAGATGAAACCCCCGAATCAGTAAATTCACTCTTTTTCTGCAATTGGATATATATATTTATTGGAATATTCCTATAAGATGTGTAGGCAAAAGTCTGCAACAGCGATAACCTTAAGCCGCCTAATGCTTTCTGATCACTTTACGTCTTCTTGTCCTTTTTTTGTGCTTGCTACCTGCAATGGCACTATCGTCCTTCCTTTTCTCTTCCCTCTCCCCCTCACTCTGTCTCTTCATAAAGAAAATTAGAGATTTTAATTCATCAAGTGAATTTTCATACTTTCCTTATTTGAAGACAAGAGTTCGTATTGCATTCCTTCCGATTTCTTTAACAGTTCTCTCGCTCCCACCCTCTCACGCTCTGTCTTTAGAATATTTGCGATATCAATTCAGCAAGTGGTTTCTTAAGCTTTCTTTATTTGAAGACAAGATTGTGAATATTTTGCCCGTATTGCACTTCTTCCGATTTCT